TTTCAACAATTGATGATTGCAGGAAACGAACCGACGGAGAGAACAAGCTCGAATTGTTCCGCTTGCCATCCACGAGGAATATTTTACGGTCAGATCCATAGCCCGTCTGCGTCCACTAATTAATCGACACGACAGGAGGGAAGGTAGGGGGGACAGAGATAGAAAAAGAAGAGAGGATGGAACACGAGAAAGAGGTAGAAAGTAATTCAAAAAAGACAGTGTAAATTAGGGATCTCCGTCTGTACCTATTCATTACGGATACGTTCAATACCAATTAGTCTAAAACACATTGATCCTCTGAAATCATTATATTTTTCAAAAACTTTTTCTTTGCTTTAATGAGTACCACATCTATCCATTTTGAACATCCTGTATGTACAATAAATTAATGATACCTGAATTATGCAAAAATAATTTGGCCCCGGTCAAAGGCCGGGTTTATCAACTAGTTCTACACTTATAAAGCAGATGTGAAATTAGAAAACAAAAAGGAAAAAGAATTTCCCGTGAAGCTCAAAACTTGTTTTTCCATGAAAATATATGTATAATCATTACCTTTCATGCACATAGAAAATTGCACCCACGCTACTTTTTAATGAAACTTATGGAAATATCATAGGCGTGTAAATGGCAAAACTTTAGCTAGAAATAAACTTTGAATACACTGATAGAAATTTTAACGATAAATATTTAGCAAAATATTTTTGTTTTAAAATTAACTTTGGATCAAAATTCTGCATATATTAATACCGATAGAATAATTAATCTGTATGAAGGGTGATGTAGTGGCAATGAAATTTTTGAAACGACAAATTTTCTTCTGCTTTTTATCGTAGACCGATGTAACAAGTACAGCTGTAAGAAACAACGTGTAGATTGTGTGCGAGTTGAAAGCGTAACAAATAGTCGAGAAGCATGCGGAAACACTGTGTGTAATCCTGATAACAATAAAAAAATCCTGATCACTGGTGTATCCAGATTTTGTCTTGTTTCTTTAAGCTATCTTTTATTAACCCTTTGACCTGTAATTTGCACACTTAATATTTTCCTCATTTTAACAAATAAAAATAAACATAAAAATTATCCAAATACGTGTGCATTACGAAGATAGAATAAATTTCAAGTTTCTCGAGGAAGCATAACGAATACAAATCTGCGTCAGATTACTCAGAAGAAAACAAATCCTTTTCAATTACTGGAGAAACTAGTATACAGTAGAATGCACGCTGTAATCTTGGTCGTTGGATATATCCCTGCTGTGAAATCCTCAGGGAACTCCCCCGCCTACTACGTAAGGACGCTCGAATGAGCAGAAATCCTTAACGGATACATCTCCGTAGTCCCCGGACGATCGTCAGCAAAATTTCAGATTTTCACCACATATGGTACTTACGTGCCATTCTTATACGCACACCAGAAAAGAAATAGGGAAACCTCGACCGTCTTTTCATCTTACTCTATGTCCCTGTATACAGGCTGTCTCAAATATGTTTACAGGAGATACATTCAGAGAATTTTATCGAATCTCTTGAAATCGATTATATAGTCAATGGTGAACAGGCAATGCCAATGATAGGCACTATAGAAGAAACACCGTCTGCGGCTAATGTTCCGGCAAATTGGCTTCGCGAACGTAGACGCCGTTTTCCTCTCGGGAGGAATCTACAAGTACGAGTGGATTTTCTCGCACCGATTTTTCCCGTAACTACCTCACGTTCCGACGATACATGTTCACGTACCACCATAAAGGACCGCCCGACTACTTGGAAACCGAAACTATTTGTAACAGAGGCTAACGTAGATACAGGATGGGGCACTATCTATGTCTACCTAAAACATTTCTACGGTTCTTTCTAATTTCCCAATCAAATTTTATGACTTTAGAATTAGCATCCCTTTTTAACCCTTGAAAAGTGAAGTCTGGTTTAACCGAGACTTGAAATTATTTTAACTTAAAATTTTTCCATATTTCTAAAAACTAATTAAATGATTCTTACTTTGTTCAATATGGTATTCATACAATATGAAAAAAAAAGAAAACAGATAATCCTTGACTTTTGATCTGTAATATATGAAATGGAAGGGATTAAATGGAAAAAATGTCGTATTTTTTAACTGTGCTGCAACAGTGAGGGACGTACACATATAGGGAACTAGTATAACGAGCAAGGATTTAAACACAACTTTCTGTCGTCTACAGTAAAGTCGACAAGCTGGGTATTTAAAGAAACATTTTAATTGCAGGAGGTAAGCAGCTTACGTGCCCCCCTCTCGTGCATTAATAAAAGCGACCCTCCTATTATGGGATGCGAACCAGAGAGCGGGGTATTGTATCTGCGAGAAAGTAATTCGACTTTTCGTTCGAAGGAAAACGTCTTTCGACGGACCTTCTTCGAATTAAAAAAGAAGAAAGAGAAAAAAGTAACAATAACAGACATCTGATAAGACTCAACGAGGAAGGCTAAGAGTAAATTGAAAAGCAAATTAAGATAAAATGTTTGACGCAATTAGTCCAGTCCGAAGATTTTACAATCTTATTTTAAAATGAAATCAGAAGAAAAATAAGTATACTGATATTGTCATGACCAGGTGGAGGACAGGGTGGGCCTTTACCCTGAATTTTATATAGATTAACCCCTTCACCATTCTAAGATTTTGAGGTTCCCAAATTTAAAAATTCCAAAATTATGAAGTTCTCAAATTCTAATATTTAAATATTCTGATATAAAAATCGCAGTACACGGGCGTTATATATAAATAAAATAACAATTCTAAATGTGAAGCCATGCAGGGATCGAAGTAGTCCTGTAATTGGGCATGAAAAAAGGGCTATATTTTCCGTGTTTAACATGAGAAAAAGAAAAGGCTTGCTTTGTAGAGCATGATAATAAGCGGACGCGAAAGAAGTGGAATGAAGGCTCTATCTCGCGGCACGGGGAAATAACATGTGGAAACGGAAAGCACGTGGAGGGTGCTTTATGGGGGTTCTCCGAGAGTTGATGGTATGCCTTGTTACCGGGAAGAACCGTGCTCCCTCGGGTAATATCGTATACAATTATGTCCACAGAAGAGAAGACATACATTATGGATGCTGGTTCTATGCCTGGTAAATCATGTCGCAGGCTTGGTTAACTCTGCAAATGATCTGCTGAATCACGCCTGGCGACCGTGCGGTAACGACTACAGAATCAACGAGACTGAACACGTCTTCGTTTACAAATAGGTTATGAATTCGTGCCTCGAGAACGGGTGCTATCTACTCTGACCTAGTATTAAAGTATCAATAAACACATGGCACTGCAACAGTCTAATGCACCTTAACGATAACAGACTAGACGAAGGCCTCATTATGAAGCCCTTGATGGCGTCACGCGTTAATTATAAATTAATCGCAAAATAAAATCGCTCATTAAAAATATTTTCAAATTCGATCGCTGCGTCATCTATACAAAAACGGCGCAAACTACTCGACAACGTATCGACCGGTTTTTTAAAACAGGAAAGCACTACAACAAGGTATTGAAAATTATTCGATAACTTACTTACCAATTGCTGGAGGTTAGGTCGATAACTCGGTAAATAATTTTCTCTCCCTTCCAGTAAGGGATGCAAGTGTTCCCCTGTTCCGGAAAATTGATCGCTAAGCCGTTGAGTAGTTTCAGTCACTTTTGTATAGATAGCGGCGCGGACGAAGACGAAAACACAACCGACCGCCACGGCGTCCGCGGATAGAGTGAGGCGCGCCTGCGCCAAGCGGTCGATATATCGAGTCGAATGACTGATGAGTCGACCAACCGTCAGTTACCAACGCGTATGAAGTGAATACAAGTTTGTCAAATATTTATTTGAATAATCTCTCGGTCTTGTGCTGATTTTGACTGATTTATAAAATAAAAGGAACTAAAGAGAGTCAAAATTATATATCGATTAGTCCACAAATTGTCAAATAGTTTCCGCTGCTTTCCGATAGATAGTGCTAGTGTTCCCTGTTTGAAAATTGATCGGTAAGCTGTTGAATAGTTTGAGCCGTTTTTGTATAGATGGCGATGAGGTCGAATTTAAGAAATTTTAAATTTATGGTGGTCTTTTTTAAATAAAAGTTTGTGAAACACTTACTTTAATAATTTTACAGTCTTGTACTGATTTTGAGTAATCCCTATAAAAATAAAATATTGAATCAAGAGGAATGAAAAATTCAATTTTGTTCGCAAATATATGAAGTCTTCAGAAACAAGTAGGCAAGAATGAAACATGTCTCCGGTTCCCAGATCACCCCCGATAATCCAATTCCGAATGATCCGCATCGTGAACGCGTGTACCAGGCGTTCTTAATCATCATCAGGCTCAACAAGGTACAATGACGATTGAGTTCTCATTGTCGTTGTTCAATGCTCACCCTAACTGAATGCCTAACCGACACACAGGGTAGTCACACCCCTGAATTGGCCCCAGCGTGTTCTCGTGTCGTTCGTCGGCATTGAAACGCGTGAAAAATCTGACTGGAAGAACGGAGACGGTCCAGCCATTTCAGACCCATTCGAAGCTCTCCAGTGTTTCGAGTACCTTTGCCAAAAGGCTGGTTACGAGCGATCTCATTCATAGAAATCTTCCCTGACTCAATCGAGGGAAAGGGTTGGAAAGGATCGGCTGAGCCTCTGGGTAATCCTCAGCTTACACGGGCTTAAGTGTAAATATTGATTCCAATCGGGTGTCGTCCAACAATGGAACCAACATCCTTCGGGACTGTCCACGATGGTCGAGCGCGAGCCGCTGTCAAAACAGTCATTAACCACCTTGCAATAAACGATTTCCTTCCTATCGAGAATCCTCCATCTTATCCGTTCCATCTCTCTACGTCACTGATGAGTAAAAGATAGCGAAAATAAGGGAAGGAAATGTTCTGTCTTGTGCAGCTTGGCCAGCTTTCCTTAAGTTCTCTAGGACCATCGTGTTTAATATGACATAAGTCAACAAAGATGAAATAAATTTTAACAAACGACTAATACTTAGACATCAATTTATTAAAAGGACAAAAGCAGGATCGGTACCTCGTATAAAAAGGGAAAGAGTAATATCAAACTATACAGACAAAAATTGTTCATCACACCTCATAGCAATCCAAGTTTTGAAATTCAAAAGAACTGCAACTTATGCTAATTTTCAATTGTTTCAATTTAGACTTTTCTCCCCTGCACACTTACTAAGACTCGAGACCTAATCCTAATTTACACCACAAAAGTGCACCTTCCGAAATGCAAAAAGATGTCGAAAATTTATAAACAGTATTTCTTTCACAAGACATGTAGGACACACACGTTGTTATAGCGAAATAAAAAAGAAAGTAAAAATACCCTTAGAAAGAAGAAAATACTCATCTACCTTTGCTAATTCTATCAACCTCCATACCATTACCGTTCATTTGTGTGGGCACTTCCGTGTTTAGAGGTGCACCGCTGAAGCCAATTCTGGCTTTAGGCGGAAGTCCATGGAATTCTGGTAGATTCTCCATTTCGTACATTTGATTGTGTTGGGCAAAGGAATCTGCGTGAAGTCGAGTTGTCATTATGCCGAATCCTTCGATCAGAGCTAAAAACACTCCGCCGACAGTGGCACTTCCTATCATCGAGGGAATCCCTGTTCTAGCGGCCAGAACTCCTCCCGTTAAAGCGCCGCTTAATATCGAGTTCCACGGGTCTTCTTTGGACCGATAACGTATCAAACTGCACTCGATCGCGGAAAACAAACCACCCCAAACAGCGAAATTTCCGGCCAACAGAGGGACTCGATTCTTTACCGCCGTTAGTCCACCGAACAACCTCCTTTGGATTCCAGACGGGGCATTCCGGAAGCCGATGACACTCTGATACGAAATGGTCGAAATTGAACATCTATAAATTCTCATACGTTTTGTGTATTATGGGAAATGACACATGATCGCTTACTTGAAAAAGTGTTCCACAAATGGTACCCATGGTGAAAGCACCTCCACAGTCATCCATTATCCTCCAAGGACATGGTTCACGATTATATTCCATATCGCAAAATTTTTAATTTGTCAATTGCAAAAAGTTCTCTTTACGAATTCTTTATTCATGATTTGAAGCTACTTATTTATAAATAAACAATATATCCAAAACGTCTTCATAAGTTCTAGTTATGGAAAAAAGATAGTAATTTCATATATTTTTATATAATCAGCATGAATGTAGCTATTTTATTATAAATCATATGAAGTTTCTAACAAATCACGTGTATTACGATTTAATACCGTGTCAGTTTTTTAATTGAGATCTTTCATGTTTGACTCTAAATTTTTTCCTAATTACAATCTACCAATTTTTGAATGAAAACGTCTATGGATATATTTTGTTATTGAAATGGTCGTATGACGCGTGGCCCTTTCTACGAAGGGGTAAGTCGATGGTTGAAACGAGCTCAGCAGGGAACAAATAGAACATGAGCATCCTAAGTGAATAATAAAGATCGCAGTAGGGTTAGATAGTAGCTAGGTCCTCTTAGTCGGGGGTGCAGTTTTGCGTTTAAGGTGCCCATATTGGCCCCCTTGCCTCCGGGGCTCGGTTCTTATTTATCCGACTAACCGTAGTCTCTGCCGGAGACCCTTCTCGCAAAAATGATTATTCGGCTATTATACGATGATTACCCAATGGTGTACTACGTGGGTGTAACACGAGAAATAAGTGTGCAGTTTCATGCCGCACTAGCATCCGGTGACAGAACGAATAAACCCATCGAGTGTTACCACGTATTTAACGCCACGTCGAAACACATGTTCGTACATCTGTACCAGTCCTTATCACTATCCCCATGGGATGGTTTCGTAAATAATTGTAGGCTTCGCTTGAACACACACGAAATTTCATTATCCCATAACTACGACATGTTTTATTAAGGGGTTAGACCACCCTGGTCATGTCAAAAAATACTCCATACGTCTTTGAGAATTTATTTCTAAGCGATTGAAATATATTTTTTTAAATAAAATTCTACCAAAATTATAACCCGTGTTGAAGAAGAAAAGAATTTTACGCGAGCACAGTGAACTTCCGTTACTCTTTTTCAAATCGAATCTCTCGCGGACGAACGTGGTTTATGGCATGCAAATTGGGTTCGACCTACTCTGCCGCCCTTTCTGCCAAACCTAAATCCTAATCCAATCCGCTTCTACGTAAAGTCTACCTGCCCTACACTTTTGTAGGAAACACCAACCTGAGAGCATAAGCACCTTAACCAGTAACCTTCATATGACAACTGTTTCCTTCAATTTCTTGCACCGCAACTTCATTTTCACAGCTGCTCCGAAATCATAACTTTCGCATCTGCTTGCACAGGAATAGATTATCGGATCATCTTTTAGATCTGTTTGCTGTAATTTCAATATCGTATCATTAAATTGTTTTTCTTTCAACGAATACTGATAGTGGATACATTATTTTTACAAAAATAAATGGCGATTAGCTTTTTCACGGTAGACGTTGAATAATTCCAAGCTCAATTTAATATTAAATACAAAAATCGTGACATTGGTATTTGCCCGTGTCAATGCAACGTGAAAAATAAAGGTCCCAATTTACTGTCATGTAAAACCACCTCCACTAAATTCGCGACATGAAATTCAACGTAACGACAAAGCGATTTTATTTACTGTCACGTGAACAATTTTTAATCACCAATATGTGTACTGTCTGTACGTTTAATCCCGTGTAAGCTGCGTGTTCTATTACAAAGAACACTATGCGTGGTTTCGTCCCACCCCACGATATGTCTGTTTACATGTACATATTTAACGTTACACGACGACTCGTACCGAGAACCCCTTTCAGTTTCCATTATGGAGGACGATTAACAAAACAGGGGATCACCTTTGTTGTCGACTTTGACCACGAGACCACCGCCGCTATTGAGCATAGAGGCCGCGGCACGCGACAGCTGTCCGATAATATCGATGTCCTTCGATCCTTGCGATATCGAGACGTCTGTATCCTTTGACGCTCCTTACAAACCCTCATTTGCTCCATGATTCGACATCTTTTCCCTTCTTTTTTTTACGTTATACTGACTGAGAAAGAAGTTGAACACACAGGCTGTGTTCGTGAAAATAGAGATTATTGCGAAAAGGAGTGATTCGAAAGAATCATGACACTCTCGAGGTAAATACACGTTATTACTGCCACGAGGACACAATGGTCGTGGAACAATCTGAAACAGACAAGGGTTGTGGACGGCTGTCGCAACAGCTCGAGTGTTTTCGTAGGTTCTCTAAATACCAAGACCACAGTGAAGCTTTATATAGTTGAACAGTGTCAATGGAGGCATCCTTTTACCTCCAGGATAATATAAACAATTTCCTGAACCTTCTCCTTAATTTTCGTTTCGATCGTTTGACAATGATATCGCATCGTCAGGGCGTCCGTTAAAATAATGTAATTAGTCGATGATTACGACTAAATAAATGGCAGATATCTGTAAAGACTTTTACCAGTTTTCAATATTTTTGGAAATAGCAAATGGGAAGCATAGTATTTAATACCTAAGGTGGTATGATTTCGGCAGCCCTCAGTTATACGCATGGCACCCCATTTTCAACTTAACCAACCGCTTAAGCACCTCGCGCGACCGACAAAAGGGTTTCATCCCCAAAAGTCCCGAACGTACTGATAGATTACACAAATGCTCTTTGCGGGGACAACATAGGGGGGTAGTCGCGAGTATCAATGGGGATCCCATCGACCGCGGTTACCCTGAAATATTCATTCGAAACTTCGCTCTCGTCGGCGACATTTGGACATTAACCGTAACGGTAGCATGGTCTTTGATCTTGTATTCCTGATCGAACGATCATTGTACAACCTACGAGAAGAATGGTTTTTTCAACTCCCTTTCAATGTCTTATCCCTCTGATACATTTGGACATTAATAACAGGAACAATTTTTAATTCAATCCTAACTCTTGACATGTTTCAATTATTACGTAAATACACGGGACATTAATCACAAAATGATGATTCATTTTCATTTCTGAAAATAACAACACAATTTACAAATTCTTAATCTCACAATCAGACAAAGAATTCAATTAATGCACATTTTACCTCAGAAAAAGATCAGGCCAAATTTGAGAGTCAGCCGAATACGTGTCGCAAATTAAGTATCAAACCCTGGTCCTTTTATAGCCACAAAGAGGAGAGGACAATGGACGAAGAAGAGAAGAAGGAGGCCAGTTCTCTTTCAAGCAACGACTCCACGCCCATCGTTTCACGCGACAATGGCCACTGTCCGGCGACAAAGGCTAAACAGCCAAAATATTGGCGAAAATCCTACTGTTCCCGTCCATGGTTCGCAAAGGATGCGAAGAAAGGGGAGAGGTGGGGGATAGAAATGGTCGAGCTAAATATCTCGAAATTTAATCTATCCCCCTGTAATCCTGTTACAGGACCAAACGGTCACGTTTCAGCCGCAACGTGGACCGCCAGCAAGGAATCAAGAAGGTGGTGGTCCTCGAGGATCTCGAGGACTTCCGCTCCATTTCTGACGCGCCCACGCGGCAACCCAACAGCCTCTCGACAATACCGAATCTCGTTTCCATTGGTCCGCTTTTTACTCGGCATATAAGCAACCACAATGAGAGGGGCGATAATTTGTTCGACACCTCGGTAGAAGGCTTTACCACCCGCGGTAAGAGTCTGTCATGCTTCGTTAAACACGAAGGACCGACGGTGTAAACAGTAAATCGCATCCCGCTGAGGGGCACTAGTTTCCGCTTTTCAACGATGCTATTCGTTATTCGGTCGTTACTCGGGCCAGCGCCTTTTTGAGGGCACTCGATGGCCAGGGAGTGTGCCCTGTCCCAGCCTGCCCCTCCTTGGAAACCAATAGAGGGGTTATCTTTCGTCAATTACATAGTAACTTGAGTTAACGTTAAATAAGAAATATAATAAAATATCAAGGAGGATATTTAATGCTGTTACACGAATGTAAGTTGAAGAGTGCCTGTAGAAATCTCAAGCCGGGAAACAAGGAAGCCCGACGGGACCAGCACGATAGAGTTTATAAATTATGAATATTTAAGCAGAGAGAGACGCTGGCACGGAAACGATATTTTCCTATCTCCTGGTGCAATAACGTCGCGCTACGTAAAAGGGATGCTTAGGAAACAGGATAGTACACGTCGCTAAAACGGCAGCATCCCTTTGAGAGGAGCGCGTCAAAGCTAATGGACCTTCTCTCTCTTCGACTCGCTTACTACTCCTTCTCTATCGTGTTTCTCTACGCTTTCTACCGGATTCTCTCCTCCTCCTCCTCCTCCCGCTACCGTATACCATCCCTTTTCGTACTCACCAGTTTCTGCCGTCTCTACGTGCCTCACAAAGGGGGAGGTTACAAGGGGCGAATCCCAGAAGCCCTGCTAATGTTTAGTACCAGTTGATTGCAAGCTCGTTAGAATATGCATAAAACATCATTGTTAAATGCTCTTTATGCTTTCTCTACCGGCAACCTAGGGAGAATTTAATGGATACATAGGTTACGTCTGTCTGCCTGTCTGTTAATGTGGTGTGCAGCCACAGAACTGTATCGTTTAACTCTGTTCTATGAGCTTCTGTGAAACACACACAAAGGGTGAAGTTAATTATCGTATTTCATCGTGTATATAGGTTGCCGACTAACTTTACAGAATAATAAATAATGAGACAATATTCCATGAAATATATGGGGGTATCCTAGGAGTTATAAGTAACGTGGTACCTTTCGGTATGAGGGTGAAAAGTAAGATGGTTCTTCAGAAAGGATACAAATAAAATAAAAAATTGAAATGTATTATTTCGTATCGAATAAAACGACACCTAATTACAGTCCAATTAAACGAAACATGATACGATAACGTTCGATTAACATCGTTTAGTAGATTCCGGAAGTTTCGTTTCTGTTTTGCGTGAAGGCGAAATCTTGAAATTTGGTTTATCGGATCGTACGGTTCGCGAGCGTTTAGAGGGAGAGTTTGAAAACCGATTAGGAGTGTATTTGGAAGCATCAAAACTAACGGATACCTTGTGCAGTCCACTTGCAGTCCGAAACTCCGACCGTCCGGGCTTCGAAGTTGTTGGCCACCTCACCACGACATTTATTAACCCTTGCCATCGGAGTTATCCGAGTATCTGGATTACCCAGACTATCGGGAAAGCAGAGATTAAAGCTACACGATTTGACTACAATTTACGATATGAATCTGAACGAATAGTTAAAGAATAATATTAAATATAAGCAAATTTTGCAGGTGCGAAGGAAGAAAAAATGGAATGCATAGTTATTTTCCTCAGAAATGATGGAAAAGCTGTAAAAGTATCGATATGGATCAAAATAAATCCTGTATTGCTGTTTGATGGTCGGTTGTACGAGGGTAAATAAGATGTCTTATCTTTCTCTTCAGCAAAGAATCGTTTTAACACGATCCAATTTTACGATTAAATAGACCTTCAGGAAGAAAAAGAACCTTCGAAAATCAACACCTATTTATCCTGGATCGATGAATTAGTAACTCTATATTCAGTCCGATCAGATACGATTCCTAATCTCGAACAAGAAGCCTAAAGTGTCCGGTGCATTTGCAGGACGAATTTTTCAGGCGAGGACCAGTTTTCTGAAGCCGTCATACAATCATAGAAACTATCATAAGGGAAGCCACACGGGACCAGGACACGACCCTGTCAAAATACAATAAAACACGAGCAAAGGAAGAATCGATGGTCGAGGTGTTCACTTAACCTTTGTCCTCTTCTACAGATGACAAATAGAATTTCTCCAAATTTATAAGATTTGTTGTATTAATTTTGTACAGATGTTGAAAATAAACCTTCTTGTGTTTCTTTTTAATTTGTTAAATCAAACTCACGCATGATTCACCACATTATCATAAATATTTTGGATATTTTGATAAACATTGGCAGTCTACTCACTACCAATAAATGTTGTAAGGTTGTGAGATCCAATGTTATGCGATTTGACACGGAATGGTCTCTCGTTCGTCTGCAGGCTGTATGTATAATACATAGATACCAGGTCCATTGTGCGTCGTCGCTAAAATGCTCTTCTCGCGACCGAATAATGGCGATAATTGTGACGAAATGGAGTGTCATTGTGGGGAAAAAAGGTACTATAACGATCGAGGATGGTGCTGCGAGTAAGTGGCAGATGCATAGCTTTCGGTTGACAGCTTCTCCGATTTCTTTCCTCGCGTATCGAGTCGAGTTGCTTTCTTCCATCGCTCTCATCCCTTAAACGGCTACGTTTCATTGGTATCGTGATTTGAAGTAATTAAAGAGTTACCAATTTCCAAATTGTAAGATGAAAAATAGAACAATGGCTAAATGAACCTGTGTGTTCATTTAAAAAGCGTCAAAGGGTTGAAAAACGATCGTAGCGAACGAAAACAGACGAAATGAGTTGCGATCGAGGGGATCGTTGCAATTACATTCGGCGAGGACACTGTTGTACTCGCGGCGATTGATACGAATCAACGCTGTATTTCCGTGGACGGATACGTAAAAGCGGAAGAACCGCGGGAAGGTAGGAGTAGGGAGGATAACTGGGAAGGAGAGGGGAGGTGGAGTTTCGTGGGGTGGCGGAGGGGCGCGAGGCTGTTATTTGCAATGAAACGCAACAATTGCAATCGGAGTCGATGCACGCCAACAGCGTTCGTAAACGCGCCATATTGCAGCTGAGTCGGCCAGCAAAAATAGTGTTTTTGTGCAAGCCGAAACGGCAGATATGAAACCAGCATGGCGGATGCTTACAAATAGTTGCAGGGCGTCGCCTCCATATAAATGCGACCGGTCGGTCCCGTTTTCTTTTGTTCGTCGATCCAGCACCGCGATGAAAAAGGACTCTGTGCAAAGAGGGAAGGATCGTTGAGAAATTCCTCCCCTTTCGAATTTACCCCACAGGATCGAGTTTTGATCGTTATTCAGGGCCATGGACGAAGGTCTGAGAGTCGGGGATCCTGGGTCAATTAACGGGACGCTTTCATTTTCGCTTTGACGTTTGCCAATCATTTTCTACCATTTGTCGAGGGTTAATTTTACGTTTAAGAAAGTCAATCGAAAACTCTTCAAGAAGATTTACAAGCGTCTTAAGTTAAAAGTGTTATCAAACATAATGATGAATTGTTCCCACCACTGGAATCACAAAATAACAAGTGGGAAGTTATCACTCTCGTCGACAAAAAGGGCATAGCAAACTGAAACATTGCTCGTTCTTCATTGAAAGCAGTGAAGAAAAGCAACCCATTTCGTAGCCAACGGATTGACGACACTCAAGGAGGTCGCTATTAACAGAGAAGCCGAGTAAACTAGCGTTATTTGAAAAGCGAAGTCGCTGGAAAGACGCGATGGGAGAAAGGTGGGATCGGTGGTTCTCTCGCCGGTTACGGTTCTACTACGATCGGCTATGATATCGAGCTTTGTAGCTGGCCAAGATAAGAGGACAACGCGAACGGTAGCCCAGCACCATCACACAAGGCGATGTTACCTACCACAGCTGTCCCCACCATCGCCGCCACCTCCCTCGCTCAGGTAGATTACGGAATTCAGGATCAATATCCATCGTGGTAGGTGTGGCGGATGGCAGAGGGTTCCATCTTCGGCCGCCCTCTCGGTGCTTATTGGTCGGAGAATCGGTAGACGGGTTCCTGCTTTCCAGCCTGGAACCCGTACACCGTTCTGGATAAACGGGCGGAGCTTGGCCGTCTCTCCCCTAGGAGCTAGTGGGGAGAGGCCATGGGTGCTCCTGGCAGACGGCCGAATCGTAAATCATGACCAGTCGGTTGCTCGAAGCGTATCGTGACAAACAGGCCGAAAACCGTTGGAAAACATCGAGCCAGCCGATCGATCGTGTCACCGTCAGCCGATCTGTAATTTCGTTTAGTCTGCGCGGCCGAATCAGTGCGCGACACCGGTTACTTTACCGATCATCCTCGATGATTTATCAAGGATCGTGAAGTTTTCTGTGAAACGTGCAAAAGACTGGAGGAAAAGTTGATTCCTGTGAAACAGATAACGATGTGCAGTAACGAGAGTCCACCGCCAGCGAAGGAACCGTTGGCCGTCGGGTTAGGTAATCCAATGGCCGGTTTCTTACCTGGACTCGAACACTACCGTCTTCAATTGTACCATTACGCGATGGCGGAGAGGCTGAGGTTAGCACAACAATTGCATCCTCAGCATCCAGGAGTCGGTCACCCGCCTTCGAGCGCTCCGACCCATTTGGGCATGGGTCCTGGCTTCCCAGCACCCTTGCCACTTTATCCAGCAGCGGCTGCTGCGGCCGGTTACCCCAGCAGATTGGCTTTATCCATGGCTCTGTTGCATCCGCATCATCAACGGATACCCGAGGAGCCGAAACCGCAACACAGTTACATAGGTCTGATCGCCATGGCTATCCTGTCTTCCCCGGAAAAGAAGCTAGTCCTGTCAGACATATATCAGCACATCCTCGAACATTATCCTTACTTTCGTACCCGTGGTCCCGGCTGGAGAAACTCCATCAGGCACAATTTATCGCTGAACGATTGTTTCGTCAAGTCCGGCAGAAGCGCGAACGGCAAGGGTCACTATTGGGCGATTCACCCAGCCAATCTTGAAGACTTTCGCCGTGGTGACTTCAGAAGGCGCAAAGCTCAAAGAAAAGTGCGTAGACACATGGGTTTGGCGGTGGACGAGGAGCCGGACAGTCCAAGTCCACCACCCTTGCCAGCCACACCGCCTCCGCCTGCGACCCTTGGGTCACCGGTCGCCTCGCAACCGATACCAGGAATCTGGTCGCCTCATCATCATCATCCCCATCATCAACAACCGCACCAGCAGCAGCAACAACAGCAACAGCATACGTTTCAGAGCCAAACGTTGCGGCAGTCTTCCTCGTTCCAACCGTCGAGAAAGAGGCAGTTCGACGTGGCGTCTCTTTTAGCGCCGGATGATCAACACCAAATCGAATCCGACCTAAGGTCGGCTAAATTGAGAAGGTTCAGCTGTAGCGAGGACGAGTTGCACGATCTCCAGGAAGCGGACCAGGACGAGGAAGACGTGGACGTGGACGTGGTGGCCGAAACGAACGCCCTGCCGTCGCCCAATACACCTTCAGCTAGTCCCGACTCGAAGGTCGTGTCTCCCGGCGGACATTGGACCAATCAGGCCATACAAAACGCTAATAGTCAGCAGATATCCGGACTGCATCTTCAGAATCATCTGCAAGTGAGAAGTTACTACGTACCGGCCAGCTCGAACACAGGTCCCAGCGTCTAATGGATCGTGTCGGAGTGTCTTGGACTCGATGATCGTTTCCCGTCGGTCGATCATCCGGCAATTACTGGAAGGCTGTTCGATACGCGACTGCTGGAAATTCGCGTAAGGACGAACCGCGTCTGCCACCGAAGCCGACGAAAGTGACGAGTTTCCAGCTTGGGGATCTCTTCAACGGGATATCTTTTGTGCCAAATTGAAAAAACTCTAAAGTTCCTTTGATTCGAACGTTAGTATAATTACATCGTTGTACATACGGTCATTTTGCTGCTCGATTGAATTGATTACTCTCGGAGGGAATCCCCTGCTACATCCTGTTCGCTCTCGTCGGTTCAGGGATGAAAAACTTTTCTGGTTCGATTCCGGTACATGAACTTGTGTAACAGATGTTAGACAACAAGAAACAAAAATATATGTGTATTATATTAAATGAATGTATAAGGATGATACGTGTAGCTGGAAGTTTGAGATTAGAATTCCACCGCGTGCTCGCTGTGTTAACCTTTTACGATAGGTAGAAATTTTAGAGAAAACGTGATTGTAAATCTGAGTCGAAATATGAATTCTAGTTTGATCTTTTAAGGTCTCATTTTCTCTGATCTTTATATTTTCTGTATAAGTAATACTGTTAATTAAAATTACTACTAATTGTTATGATTCTTTTTAACGTCTCTAAGTCTTGGCAAATTTGCAACTTCCACTTCTAACTTCAAAGACCTACAAATAATTAATACTATAATTAATACTGTAATATTGTAAATATTATCTAGGGGTCGAAACTGAACTCGAACGATAGCCATCGTCCAAAAATTTCAGTTTTGACCACTGGGTCCAAACTAGAATTTCAATTTCGACTTTGGAGAAGTTAATGAGAGTCCAAGTATCGACGCGGAATCGATACTTATTATATCGTGCCAATCGTGGTTTTCTATCGTCAAAAATAATTCGTGTAAATAGAATGAAAAACCACGGGATGTAATTTCGTACATTCTTTTCTGTTCTCTCCCGTATGAGATTCGAATATGGGGCATTACATCAGACTGAAGTGAACCGATCTGTTCAAAGTGTAATATAGAATCGTTTGAAAGTTTTAACGATAGCTCGTGCTAATTATAACCCGTATCGTTTTCGTATAAACGTTTACGAAGATATAATCTGTGCAAACTTTCGCCCCCCCCACCCTTCTTGTATGTATGTATGTATATGTACGTGCCTACGTATATTTGAGATGTATCATGGTGAAGTAAATGAGACAAAATACACGATTTTTTAAAGATTACCTCACGCAAATGCAACAGATATTGTCGCAAAAAAAAAAAAAAATAATATGAAAACTGTCCCTCTTGATTCTCAGCATCTCGATGGAATTGAAGCCGAATAAAGTTTCTGTTCCCATGAAAATGCTTCTATTTATTCTTTCTCACATTCCTACCCTTAACTTTTTTTTTTAAATTAGTAGAAAATTATTAATTCTCAAACTGTAATTAAATCTCGAACATTGGACCATGGAAAGGGCCTCAATCTTAATTTAATTATATATTTCAGATTATTTCCATTTTCTAAATTTTACTTATTATGAAAAATTGTTGCTTCTTGCTGTTGAAAAGAATTAAATGTTACTGTTATCTGTTCTATTTGTATGCTAAAATATTTTGGCATACGTTTCCCGTTCTTTTATCATACTTGAAGACTGTCAGGATTATTTGGAGTGACAAGTTGCGATTTAGTCACTGATTGAAAGTACAATAAGCAAAATGAAGGATTGATTAGCGGTGACTTCGCAGAAATATGTAACAGAAATGCCAATCTAATAATATTTCTTCATATTGTGTAGACAGGTTGCGTCCTAAGGTTTAAATAACAAATTCAAAAGTGATAATTTATGAAATGTTATATGGAAAATTCTAATAAACAGCATGAATTTTTTTTTTCGTTACAACTATTATCATTGTTGTAAAAAAGATTAGAGATTAATCTTTACAAAATTGATTAGAGATTATTGATTCAACGATAAGTAGATAATGTTACCAAGAGGAAATTGGACCAGTCTTCTGGATTCGACAATCTTTGCTGTCGACAATGCAAGATTTACCAGATCCTATCACAAAGCATCCTATTGTCTCCCGGTTCATCAAATGAAACCTTAAGCAGTTAACTTAATCCTCAATGGGATGCTATCAGAGACACGGGAAGCCTGATACTGGGAATGAAAGCAATTTGTTAAATATTGCTTTCGACGATGTAAACGGTACAAATAGGGGCCAGAAATGATATTGCTTGCTTTCAAAACGTTGGACACAATTCTACATTAATAACAAAACTAAAGCTGTTCCATTTCGATTTTCGATCAAACTTTTCATTTATATATCAGAGAATAAATCTTTGATATCTTAAAATGCATTCAAAATAGCAAATGACATAGTATTTGTTTAATTTCTTTTCTAAGTTTACGTGAAACTGAGTGTTTTCGCACATTTGAATGATAATCTTGAAGAATTTTTCCCTCCTATCCGTTTCGAAGCAGTTTCGTACGATCAACATTCCCAGAAGGCTCGTCTGTGAATACAGATTTCGAAAGAGGGTGTTAGAAAAACAGTAAGGGTAGTTTGCTCGAGCTATGCAAACGCCGTTCTCGTTTGTTGTTCCAAACCCACTGAACGAACTATCCGTTCCGAGTTTTCGAATATTTAACAAATAACACCGTGGCACTGTTGTAAAGATCACGAACTAGAAGATGGATCGACATCCTTCGAGTAACATGATTTTCTTCTTCACCTCTTTTAGTCTTCCGTATTTCGTGTCATATTTGAGTTACAATTTTGGAGAAGAAGAAAAAAAAATAAATAAAAATTGTCGTAATCCAATAGACCCCACCTTACAGGTTAAATTCCTTGTCTACTCAAACTTTATCCTTTTACGAGCGTTGGTACAAGTTGGCCGGAAACGAAGCCTGTAGAAAACGCAATAAACAGGAAGAAGAGCTGTCGGAACCGTCCTATTTTCACGTCGTTCAGAAGACAGGGAACGGGTCGAATTCGGGTTAGATCGTAGCTCGATAATAAATTTCGCTGGAAAATCCTTTCAACAAACGATTGATCCTGGAGCGATGGGTATCGTCGCCGGACGTATTTAGATCAGATTGCCGGATCGAACCGCGTCCACGTTGTTTGCTACAACGCGTCATGCATATACATGCACATAACCGATGATGCAGTCAGAGATGCAGAGAGTGTGCATGCGCGAAAGTGGCCAGGATGCAACGTCATGCACACCGGATACGTGTGTTGGATGAACGTACAACGAACGACCCATACAGATGTCGATCGTAGACGCAGAGGGACAGGATAGTAGGAATCGGTCGGTGATCTTGTTACTCTGCAAATGGAGTTGCGGCTGCGCGGATTAGCGGCAAGTTCTCCTATAGAAATTTCAAAAGATCGATTCTTCTTTATATTCGTCGAATCTTCGAGCTTTTAAGAATATTTATTTAAAGGGATTCACTGAAATTTATGAAATTCTGGAAATTACCAGGGATAAACTGCAAGTGGAATCGCAGTTGCATGCATTTGGACTTTCCTTGATTATAATGTATAAAATTAACATTACTGAATAAATCGATGTATTTCAATATTTAGGAACTAGCTCTTGAATATATCGCATCACGATATTAACACATTTAATAGAGGTACATTCGTCCAAGCATTGTACATATTATGTATTATCTGCTTATCCGCTTTTATCACCTTTTGATCTAATTAATCAATATATCGACACATTTTAGACCAAGAAATTAAATCAAAGCGGCTCTTTGAAAAAATTTCAGTGCATAAAATTCATGTAAAAATTGCATCATATAATTTACTCAAAAAAAAAGGAGAAGAAATTGTATGAAACGCATATCATTTAATTCAATTTTCCTTCCATTTTGTCACGTTATAAATAATTTATCCAAATTATAAATGAAAAAAGACTAATCTACTTTTGCAAATATCATAATTATTTCCCATAGAAAGAGAAAAAAAATTCAAAAAGGAAGTCGTATCGAAACTTGGACAGCCTATAATAGATCAATGAAAGCTTTTATGCAACGGAAACGCGTAAGTAGGCAGATGAAGGTCTCGTATTGCTCTCGATTGAAGTGAGGCACGAGTGAGAACCATAGGATTCATTTGCCGATCCTCGAACGGGTCCTAAAAATACATCTCGCGGGACACTTTTGCACCGACAATGGCGGCTATAAATGGATTATTAGGCGTTCGTATTGCGTGCAACACCTGACGCGAGGCCTGGAAAGACCAGGTCAGACGCACTCGCCACCGGCATTCCAAAGTGCCTCTGTCCGCAACCTATGGGAGATCCCATTTTACGAGTCCTCTACTTTGCTCCATGGAATGGCTAATATTTTACCTGCGCCCTCCTCCGTCCCACAAAAGTGTTGACATAGAACTGGCACATCAGAATCTGACCGGGAATCGCGTTCAACGATCGCAGAGAAATTTCCACCGGATGTGCCTTGATTTTCAGATCCGTCGATTTTCAGACGGTATTTTCCTCGTCATCGTTACGTTATGCTTGTAACGAAACAATGAACGTTTACACTGAATATGTTCACCGCCGAGTCACAATATTGTTAATTGGACGCGTTGAAGCGGGAAACGTAGCGTCGCGTGTGAACGCGTGGCACGGGTCGCTTTTGTCGCATTAACGCTCGAATTTCGCGCAATTATTTTTCCTCCAGAGTGATTCCGTTGCTTCGATACCTCCGAACAATCGATCCATCTCGGACCTCCGAGAGAATCGCGCGGGGAGTCGAAACCCTGCGGCGACGCCAGCTGCTTCACGAATATTTCTTCACGAAATACAAATACGCCAAACGTCGGCACAATGGGCCGAAAAACATTTCGCATAGCCGAATCGTCATCGTTTCGACTGTTGCAAAACCACTTTATTATCGCCCGTTCGTCTTGAAATAATCTCTTATTGCCGCCGGAAGTAACCCTCTTTCATCCAAGTTTTTAGCGCAAACGAGGATCTTGAGTGAATTGCATTTCAAATGAAGAAGTGAAGTGGAATGAGAAAGTACTTTTAGGTACATTACGTTACCCAAGACGTTATTAAAATATGAATCATAATTTTGCATTTGATATTATCATCATCGTTCAGTTTCAAAATTAGACTAATTGAACAGTTAATTTAGAAACAATAATGTACAAGCACAAGATAGAGGGACGTTTCGTTTCATTTCGACGAATGAAATTAACTCGTTCATTTACAGCGATGAAATGTCGAATTTCAATAAATCTGTGTATAGACGGGCGTGAAGCAATCGGGCTGTTACCAAATATTTTCCAGTGACATCCGCATTATGGAATGGCGCAGCGTTTTGCGAGAATTCGGCTATTTTCTGTCGACCGGGCTATCGAGGCTGTTATTTATTTGTACCTGGCGTCGATTGCTCGAATCGATCAATGGCCTCGTTCAATTCGAAACACGCGTTTGCCGACTACGCGACAATGCGACACTGCGTATCCTGCGTGTTACTTTTATCAGGATGCCACCAGTCGATTTTCAAAACCAAACGAAATTTTACACATCTATATTGTAGATACTCTATTGTCCCTATGAATAGCTTCGCTATTCACACGAATTTCCATTTCAACATACTTCAAACTGATAACACAATTTCAGGTGCGCCGACAAAAGTATCGAGCGACATTTTATATAATTAGCAACGAAAGATTTAAAGAAAATATTGCTGTAATCGAGAACCGTACGAAATAATGGTTCGAGTTTCCCTTGATGGACCACGGGGAGCACTCGTGAGGTATTCGAGGGCACTCGATTGGGCACCGCACTTAAGGGTGTAACCGAGCGCATGATAGAGAAGGCACCGGTTGCGGTGGCTCGCCCGTTCCATGTGTTCGCCTACTGAAGGACTCTCCTCACGGTCAGAAGAATCAAATCAGAAACAAATTCGACGCGGTAGGGCCTCGAAGATCCAACGGGGACGGTGGATTGTCTCGTGCGACGGTAATGACATTCGTCCATGCGTGAAGCTGCCTGGTTGGATTCAAAGTGGCCCGTAGAAATCGTCTCGAGAGGGCAACACGCCGCAGGCCGATTGTCCCTTGCAGCCCTCTATGCAGACTGAATTTCGAATTCCCGTAAACACCCCAGTGTATTAAGACGCCTACGTGTCCTCGCGTTCTCTGCCATTGGACATTCAAGAAACGGGCAGAGTGCGTGACGATACGTCATTGGGTACTTAGTGATTTTCCTGAATATTGTGCAATACATTGCATCTGAGTTGGTGAAGTACGAAA